GGAAAGAGGAACTTTTCAACAATCATAAGTGATCCAGCAGTTATTGAACTCAGTGAGTACATGTACATGTAGATTTGCTTATTAACTAACTCAAATAATTGATTATAATAATATTGTGTTACTGTATAGGATATACTAGTAATAATGATTGGTCTACTAGTATAATACCTCTGGACCAGTATCAAGAGAAACTACAAGAAAGGAGAAGAGAATGGGAAGCATCTCAACCTGTTCAACCTGAGGATAGAAGAGAATCTCATTGAACACGACATGTCCGCAGCATCAAAAAATTGTCTGTGAATTCTTTTTGTTTTATTATTTTTAAATTTTTAAAAAGTATTGTATTTCATATTGCTCATGTGATGTAATAATGTACAGTGAATTGCAAATTAGTTGTCATTATTATGCCATAAAGATGAAAGGGCTGCACAATAGTTTATTAGCAGATATTTTAGCCAGCTAGCTCATAGATAATATAGAGTAAATGAATTCACTCTATTATTCATTTACACTATTATCTATGGCTAGCTAAGCAGATTTAAGCCACACCTAAACTAAAGCAAAGGAGTCAGTGTGACTGTTTTAAAAAGTATATATGGAAATACCTGCTCCATGTGTAAAGATAGCATCTCTCTCAATGCTTTAGGCCATAAAAATGTCTCTTGTGGAAATGGTGGAATTCGTCGCTTATACTGATACAGAACCTGATAGTGAGGATTCTTGCTTTCCTTCTACTGATTCAGCACCTCCGGCTATGATGTCTAACAGCAGGACAGAGTCTCCTTCATCCACTGGGAGTGAATCACCCAACAGCAGTATCATAGAATCATTGTCCCCGCCACCAGTCAAGCTGTACAAACTATCAGATTTCGAAGGGTTAACTTATAGAGGTATTCATTACATAAATGTACACATTTGGCATACATAAAAAATAGTCTCGCTCCTGCTGGGTCTAATATCCGTGCTGCTACACATCCTGAACTTGGGCCTTAAGTTTGGAGCCTGATAGTCTAAATCAGTCCTAAAATCAGTTCAGAATCGTGCATTTTGGGCAGTCAGTCATGATTCAATGAAATCAGTGCGGCCACGGCACAATTATAGAAAATTTGCACTGGTTCAGGCCAGAGCAACAGGCATGATCAGCAATAATATCTGACTGTACCAAGAGACTCATGGACTCAAGACTGTACCAGTCAGTACTGATATTAGACTTAATTCATTCATTTTGGGCAATATTGCTGATTCAGCTATATAGGCAAGCTGTGTATTGACCGGCCCTCCTGCATGCCATAGTCATACAGTCAAGTCATTGGGTGTGGGGCACTGACAGTCAGTATTATTATTATGCATAAAATTGTACAGTTATTGTGTAGACTTAACATTACAATGGCAAATAATTACTGAACAAACATGCAGTTGACTTAGCACTCTATAATAATAGCAAATATGAATAGTATAACCACTAGCTGACAGAAGTAAAATAAAAAAGTTCCATATTTTAGCAATGGTGTGTGGCAGCAACAGACTACACATGTATGTGGTGTAAAAGAAAGCTATCATAAACATAATGACTTTCTCAACCACAACTCTCATTCTGTATTTACCACGGCTTTAACTCAAGTCTAAAGTACTGCAGCTATTGGTCATTGCCATCATTTCGTGTATTTAGTGTATTATTGTTTGTAGAATTGGTGAGTGAAGTAGAGCCACTGATGGAAGTCATATATACATGGGCGGTTGCAGAAATTTGGTTTGACCTGGGCATCAATAATTAGTGGGTGTGGAGTGGGTGTGGTTTCATACAATTTTGCAAGGAAAATGGAAAATACTGATCTATAACTTCATTGAGATGGTTTCTTAGCATAAAACAACAAAGAAGCCTGTTGAACTACCACAGTTTACACTGGATGCCCACACCAGAATCATGAATATAATTATTGGTCAAAAAGTCAACCTGGGCATTGCCCCCTAATGCCCAGGCCTGCAACCGCCTATGCATATATAGTAACCCTCTCCTCCAATCATTGCTACAGTCAATATTGGTTAATACTGCTACTGCTAATAATGGAATAAGAGATATATTTGATAGTGTAAGCCATTCACTGTATACTGCAGCATATTGTGAGCAAAAAGTGCATAGTACATGCAGGGGTGTAATTTTGGTAAACCTAGTTTTTAGTTGTGCCAGAATTTTTTAAAATAATTGCAAATGTCTGCATGTGTGCATATGGTTATAAGATGCTTCAAAAACCATCACTTTTCTTTCTTGAGAACAAAAAATCTGCATGGCTGAATGACAGATACTGTACTTTGCTATGTAACTGTACTTTGCTATGGGATATTTGCATTAGTGTGGCTATATCAATAAAGTTTTGTTTCCTCTTACAATAGTTAATAATGAAGTTTAGAAAGGAGGGAGAGAGAGAGGGAGAGCTATCTATTAATTTATGGTACATGTAGTTCAATAGTATTACATTGTACTGTCTTTTAAGATTATAATTCATTTATTATTATTATAGTGTGATAAAGGCGGTCTAATGGATCCCAGTGCAGGTGTTCAGTATGCCAGTAGTGAAGCTGATGGTGTCATTGAGTCTCTTAATAAAACCGATATGAGTGAGAGGAGCAAGGAAATACAAGCACTTCTCCTATTAACTGAACCAATACAAAGTAAGCTACTGTATAGGACTTTACAATAGAGCATTAATTCTACTATGGCTATGTCTAAAGTTTGAGCAGATTACAGCGTTAATTTTAAAGTTATGACTATTTTAAAAAATAGGCCAATTTCTGAATAAATTCATGCATAGCCCATGCTTTTTTGATGAAATGGCTCCTAAATCACAATTTATATTACATTTTGTGATACATATTGATGTACTTATGCTGTGTAGAAAGTTTGAGCTGATTCTGACTGAAATTTTCGAGCTATGCATAGGTCAATTTCTGAATATTGCTTATTTCCAAAAAATGGCTCCAAAATTATAACCCTAATTTATATTGCATTTTCTGATGCAATGGGTACATATTGATGTCCTCATTGCAGAATGTTTTGAGGTGATTCAGTCATAGTATTGATTATTACAGTCAAATCTCATTAACTACTTT